TTACACTTTCCCAGAGCAGAGAGCCTCGCTTTCCTTCCATCGAGTAGCATATGGTCGTGAACTGCTGACCAATTTAGTAACCTAGGAGACCACCAGGGCTCCTTGCCCGACAAATCTCTAGCCAATCAGTAATCCTGGTCTCTTTCATGATTTTGAATTGTGTTTCATATGTTCCTCCCAATCTATTCAGCAACTTCTATGTGATCTCTTCTTTCAAAGCAAATAATGATGGTAGTTGTAGCTGGGCACTATCTGCTTCTGATCTTAGGGTTATGGAGACTGATGCTCATGGGCCCACTCATTTATTTTTATTACCCATAGTTAATCACATCAAGCAGAATTGTACAACTGCTACCACAGCTTCCAAACATTCTTCTTCTACATGGACTCCTTGACATATCTCCCCTTCACCTCTCCCTCCACCACTCCCCACCCCTCCCCCCAAAACCCTTTATTCTACTCGCTGTCTAGAGAGGCTCATCAATCTTGGGTTTCACATAACGAATTTAACGCTTTAATCTAGTAAAGTTCCAAGCTCACCACAGGACTCAAGATGTGATTTTCCAAGGGTCACTACCTCAAAGATAGTAAGGAGGAACAGAAAATACACCACAGAAAAAGTAGGATACAATGTACAGAATAAAAACAGAACACAATACAAATTACAGTGGGGGAAGTAAATGGCCCACTGGACACAAAAGTAAGCCAACGAAATATGTGAAACGTGAAATAAGCTCCAGAAAGTCTCCCAGAATGCAGAGAACACAGAACAGACAAACATGTGCAAAAGGCACATCCGATCTGCCGATGAGAAGGCACACTGAAGGAAAGCAGACACACACAGGTGCTGGCTGGGCTGGGAAATGTAGAGAGCGGGCTGAGTGCTGCTGAATGAGGGCTCCCTGTCAACGCCGTGACACAAAATGCAAATTGCTGAGTTGCCAACCAATCTGTGCTACAAATTCTCAACCAAACTACAATAGTTTGTTTGTTTTTTAAGCGTGCAGCCTATGTCATATCAAATAAAATTAAAGAAGGAATATTACCAATTATGCCTTGATAGATTTTAATATTAATTCAAGGGTTTTAAAAGTTCTGCCAGATGTATAGATTGTGGTAAGAGCTGTAAAAAAGAACCCCCCAAAAAAAGTACCTAATTAAAAAAAAAATTCTACCAGAAACAAGACAGGAAAAAAATATTACTAACAAAGAAAAAAATGCAGTTTGATTGACATCAACGAGACTTTTCTGAAAATCAAATGCCAGAAGCCCGCAATGCAACATGGAGAACGTTAAGGATTAAAGAGTTCTAATGCCAACCAACCTTTCATTCATCTTCAAGGCCAATCACAGTGTCTTTGAGTAACTCACCACCATCCAGTCAGTGCTGACTCGGGCGAGCCCTGTGGGTTTCTGAGACGCCGCTGTTCACCTGAGCAGAAAGCCCAGTCCTTCTCTGGAGCTGCTGCTGGGTGCGCCCACTGCTGACCACTCAGATCGCTGCCCAACAGGTAACCCCTACACCGTCATGGCTCCATGCTGTGATTAGTAAAGTACTCACCAATACAATAAAACAGAAACCAGTGGTTTGTAGGAAAAACAGCCCTGGGGTGCACAGCAGACACTTGTTGGCTTGTTCACCTTGTGCGGGAGCAGTTCCAGCCCACCCAGCGCTGCACCACAAAAGGATAGGCGCTCTGCTCCCTCCACGGTTTACAGCCCCAGACCCCAAAGGGAGAGTCCTGAGCGGTCCTTAGCGGCTCTAGAAATCAGAATGACTGCTTTATACAGAGGACACCTCACGGCATCATTCTAGCAGCCCTAGAAATCAGTACTATCTCAATGGCAGTGGGTTTACTTTATACAGAGGACAGCTCCTTGCCTAACTGTTACAGCACTTTGCTGCTAACGAAAAGGTAGGCAATTTGAGCCCCTGAGCTACTCCGAGGGGGAAATGCACCTTCCTCTGCCGTAAAGATGAACAGCCTTTCATCTCAACGGAGCAGTTCTGCTCTGAGCCCAGGGCTATTTTGAGTTGGCATTAGCTCTGTGCAAGAGGGTTGAGTTTGCTTGTTTGTAGGAGAACCTACCTTTCTCACCAGTTCACATTAACTTCTCCAGATGGCACAAAGGTTCTGTGAGCAAGATTCTGTTAGTCTCTTTGTTTTGTTTCTAGGTAAGGGAACCGGGGCAGAAAGGAGCGGGGACTAGCATGTTCAGGAACACCAGCTGGCGAACAGGACACCAGGAGAGCCTCAGCATACTTGTGTGTCCTAAAGGGTAGCTGTAAATCAAACTCTTTTATGTGTATATTTTACTATTTTACATTAAGTCATTTGTTGCTTATCTGAAGTTAAAACTTAATGGAGCATTCTGTATTTTTCTTTTTTAAATTTAGCAACATTATCTATGGGTGATTAGCTGCATAGGGCCTGTCTCATTCTTTTATTCTCATTATTATCTATGTACAAAATGTGTCTAATAAAAGTCAGTCACCTAAGTTATCAGGTTTCAGTACTGATAGGCATCTTAAAATGGTATTTGAGAAGGCAATATGTCAAAACCATTTTTAAATTAATTGACAATAACTATGTGAAAATAATCAGAGCAAAGGAGGCATTGGTTAGGACGTAATAATACATTTTCTTTTAAAGAATGCAAACAATGTTTTCTGCTTGATAATTAAAGTATATTTATAGCATTTTAAACATATTTTGTTCCTCTAACAATCTTTAGATTATTTGGTTCAAAAATTATTTTAATTTTTAAGAAAAATAGGTATATCTTTCTAATGATTACTCACTAAATTATTTTTACCCATAGGAACTTATTTCATAACTCAGCTTCATTATTCTCTCTTTATAAGAAAAAGAAAATAACAGAATTTTCTTGACACTTCTTTGTGTCATATAAAACTAGATTCTTTTTTTCTATCTTAGAATGAAGTTACTATACAGTATCTTTATCCTTTCGTGGCTAACCATTGTCCAATGCCATTTATCATTATAAAATGTAAGAAATAATATTTCCTGGGGTAATTTCTCATCTCTAGAACTTTTTTCTACATAGAAAATAGTAGTCTCTGCTCTTTGCAAGCAATTTGGCAAGGCCTCCTCTTTTTAGCTGTGTACACTGTAATTTTCTTTTCTTCCCTCGTGGCTTTGCATTTTAGAAGATACTGGGGGGAGACACGTGAGAAAGGTAATTTGGAGCGTTTTTCATTGTTAACGGTCACTGCGCAGTGGTTGAGACGCTCAACTGCTAACCGACGCTTCAAACTCACTGGACGCCCGGAAGAGAAGGCCTGGCTCTCTGCTCCTGTCGAGATGTCAGCCTAGAACACCCAGACAACGGGCGCCTCCACTCCGCCCTCTCGGGCTGCTGAGTCTGATCAACCCAATGCCGCACAGCAGCATGCTGAAGAGCCTTTGCAAGGTCTCAAAGTGTATGTGTTTACACTCACTTTTCTATACTTAAATGCAAATATGTAAATATGCTAATAATAAATGTCTTGCTATCACAGATCTGAATAAAGGAGGCCCAGAGCCCTGGTGGCTCAGTGGTTATGAGGTGGGCTGCGATCTCCAAGGTCAGCAGTTCAAAACCCTCAGAGGCTCCTTGGGACAAAGACAGGGCTTTCTAATCCCATAACCATTCCAGGCTCAGAAAATCCACAGGGCAGTTTTACCCTCTTCTATAGAGTTGCTACGAGTCAGTATCGACTCAATGGTGGTGAGAATTTTTTGAAATAGAGTACTTTCCCTTAGTAAATTTTTTCCCCTTTGACTTTTCATTGTGACCCGGACAAAGATTTGCAGGGTAGATCAGTCTACCATCTAAAGATCCCTACACACATTGTGTAAAATTGGTAGGGAGGCCACATCTGACCTCTTCTGGCTACATAAGCAATTCCAGCTCCCAACAGCCCAAAGCCTCTTCCCACAAGGCAGAGGACAGATATCCCTCCAACCTCCAACTTCCTTTACCCAGTTCTTATACTGATTGTCTCTCCCGCGGCAAAATTTCTGCTGGGCTTGATAAGCTGTTGCAATGGCCTCACATAACTCACCGACAATACTCACAACCCAGGGGGTTTACTAGGGAAGGTCACAGGTAACAGAATGTCAGGATCAGAAAGCAGTAGGGATACAGTTATTTTATACGCAATCTTCCCAGGTATGCCAGTAGGCCTCTCTGTCTCTGATCCTCAGCCTCTCAGCCACAGGATCCCTGATCTCTGCCTTGGTCCAGCAAGCGTTATGAAACCCTTTCAGTGATGATAAATGACCAAAGAGTACTCCAGTCATCACGACAGCCTCCTGCCTAAAGACACTCAGCTTGACTCCTACTGTGGGCCGCCAACTCCAAAGCCCTTTGTGCTGCCCTGTGTACCATTCTTGGCTCTTGATTGTTGTGGAATTCTCTTTTTCTGGTATGGAGATGGCTCACTTTATACCCAGTGGCATGGCAAAACTGACCAATGTCCTCTGGGAAGTCCTCTATACCAGCTGCAAGCTCTCACCCACTCATGTGGGTGAGTTTCAAAAACCTTGGCTAGAAGAGTCATAGCAAGTAATTTCACGTCACTACATCTTGCTGCATCAAGACAACGCACCATGGCTCCTCCCACTTCCTCCCTGTGCCTTCTTCACTAACCATCCTGAACTTTGTCCCTGAGTAAATGCTGGCCCCTCAAACTCAAATGCTTGATTATGTCAAGTGGGTGCGCCTCCCTAGTGTCGCAGCTCCCTCGTGGCTTGGCTGAAGACTGAGCCACCCTCATAGTTCATTTCCAGACTTGAAGGGCAGCCAGGGGCCACCGCCCCCATGTGATTGGTAAGCTTGGTCCCCTTCATGGTTCTGAGGTTTGTTCACACATTCTTCCCAACTCCATTCAGGACCCTCGAATGTGAACTCCCTCAGGCACCAACCAGGTTTCCTGAGCCTAGTGTGTGGAGACTGATGTCCATGAAGTCTACTGGTCATTGGGCCAATGGTGACCATGCATCTTCAACCTTCCCCACTCGTCTTTCCTCTGGACAGGGAGAGAACAATATCTGCCCCTGTAATATTGTGCCCAAGATCCTAGTCACTCCCCACCAAAGCAGAATATAGAAAACTGCCTATGGACCAGGGGTCCTCAAACTAAGGCCCGCGGGCCACATGCGGCCCATCGAGGACATTTATCCGGCCTGCCGGGTGTTTTTGTCTCCACTGCCTGTCCTGCTTAGCAGCTGACTCGTCCAGTGTGCATAGGAAAATTTTCATAGTTTTTTTTTAAACTATAGTCCGGCCCTCCAACGGTCTGAGGGACTGGCCTCCTGTTTAAAAAGTTTGAGAACCCCTGCTATGGACCATGCTATGTCAACTGACCCCAATGTTCCCCAAGCCCATGCTTCTGAGCCTCTAGGCTCAGTGACTTATCCCCTCAAGGAACCGGACTGTGTCCAAAAAAGTTTTCACAACTTGACCCACCCCCCATGCACCACCACATTAGTTTCTTTTTACATTATGTTTTCATTTATAATTCCTCATTCGCAGGGGTGGAAATTAATAAAGATGTTAACTATAAGAACTAGTTTCCCCAGGGCCATACCAACTTGAAGACCTCATATCATTCAGGCCAGCAGTTCTCAATCTGTGGGTTGCAACACCTTTGGGGGTCGAACGACCCTTTCACAGGGGTTGCCCGATTCATAGCAATAGCAAAATTATAGTTATGAAGTTTAAACAAAAATAATTTTACCGTTGGGGACTTACCACAACATGGGGAACTGTATTAAATGGTCGCGGCATCAGGAAGGTGGAGAACCACCGATCTAGGCATCCCTGCGTCCTCCACTTTTGTGAAGGCTTTCCCTGCCCTAAAGGAGCAATGTACGAATGGGGGAATAACAGCTTCTTTCTCCTGGCACTACAACCGGAAGAACTGTGTGGGTAATCTAGGACACTGTCTCTTTTTATGGAATCAAAAATTGAAGGGAAGTCCCCAAAATTAATCGGCCAGTTCCTAAAGACTCAGAAGAAAGCTATAATTTTGGACACTTAGGGCCTCTTTTCAATGCGACAGTGAACAAAAACGTACTTGCACACGCAGAGATATTACGGGTATGGTTCCAGACAACCAGGAATCAGACAACCACACTAAAGCAAGCATGACAATAATGCAAGGCAACTATCATTTTTTCATTCCTGGTGCACACATAAGGACAATTGTGAGGTTGACACAGGACCAGGTAATGCCTCATTCTGTGTACGCAGGATCCCTCTGAGTCAGAGCCAACTCGATGGCAACTAAAATCAACAATACTAGCACATATAAGTTATGTGCACACCACACTGTACACTGTACAGTAGTTCATTGGAGCCACAGTGGCACAGCGGACTAGTGTTGGGCTCCTAAATACTAGGTCAGCAGTTCGAACTTACCAGCGACCCCATGGGACAAAGGTGATGCTTTCTGCTCGTGTAAAGATTTACAGCCTCGGAAGCTCAAAGGAGCAGTTCTACTCTGTTCTCCAGGGCCCCTCTCGGTCCGAACTTACCAAACAATAGTGAGATCACTTGATCGTCTAGTAAGTCCCTGGGGAAGGACAGCAGGCTCGGGCAAGTAGCGGAGCAATGACAATGAGGAAGGACCTCGACCAGGTATAATGAAACTACGACAGAGTTAAGTTCTGAACACGTGAACAGGACTCATACCAGCCAGCACCACCACGTGCATTCGCAGACTTCTTACCTTGTCTACCAAATGCACGACGGCACTGAGCTGCTCCTCTGTGTTCTCCGTGGCCACGTTCGTACCAATGCTGCGGAGCACTCTGTTGAGAATGTCACTGTCCAGGGGCTGATGCAGCTGCTCCGCAAGGCCCCAGACAGCCTGAGAAGCCGAGTCCGAGACCAGAGTGAGGTTGGCAGTCCCATAGACTTTATCAATTCGGGCCCCACCTTTTGGGTCGAAAAGCACAATCTGGAAGCGTTTAGGATAGGGATTTAAAGATGCCGCGTCTGGAGTTAGGATGACGTCCACTACCGTGTGTCTCTGGCCAGGTTCAAATACCAATGTGCCCTCAGTTCTCACAAAATCCTCCCCAGAAATAGCTGGAGATAGGAGAGTACGGCCAAGGGTTTCAGCACTCCTCAACTCCTAGAAAGTGAACAGCACGTTTTCAGTGAAACTGGAACATCTAGGATCTTGTTCTAAACAGATTCTTCTTGTGTGAACATGTTACATCTCTTAGGACAAAATGATGAACAATCCCAGCACTATGACAAAAACACCAGGTTTCACTTTTTCTAATATTCTAAAATGAGCTAGGGATGCGTCTTACATGGTGATGAGGTTTACAAAGGTAAATATCATACAGTGATGAGCTTAAAAATATCTATCTGCCACCCAGAGAGGATAACAAAGAAACGGGAATTCAAGGCCAGGGAACAGATGAAGGACAGAAATAGTCACGATTCCCTTCGACAGAATTGCTCCAGTTGTGAAAACTGCGAGTGCACAACTTTACATGGCACATACTTGAAAATATAAGTACCAAGGAAACGATGTGATATTTGTATTCAAATGCACACCTAGAGTTTTTGAAGGGACATAAGAGAAAGTTGGGGGAAAGTGGCAAAAAGAGAAGACAGATATACACACAAACCAGGCCTCTTATTATTTATTCTGAGAGATGAAACTACCATAAAGAATAAGGTCCCAACATACTAAAGAACTTCAAAAAGCTTTGTGGAAAAATAAAACGAAAGATAATGGCATTTCCCTATGAACTCTGTGAAGCCCCTTCATATATACATCTGAACTCTTCAAATGAAGGTTATTAAAAGGTTTTGGAAATGAATCAGGGGCATACAAGGAATGTGTATGTATTTATTAGTGAGTGACAAACAGCTCGATCAGGAATGCAGAAGGCCCCTGCTGGTGGAGGAGACCGTGTGTACAGGATGGAGCTAAAGCGGTTGAGTTCTGTGATGTCTGTAACTGGAGGAGTGGAAGCAGAGGGACCATCGACTACTATTTCAGACAAAGCCGGCCACGGAAGGTCTTCAGGTGATACTTGAGCAAAGACCTCAGTAAGGTAAGGGAACCTATGTAGGCAGAGGGAACATCAATGGCAAAGGTCTTCAAATGGGAATCATCTTGGAATATCAGAGGGAGACCAGAAGGACCATGTGACTGGAAAGGAAGAATGCTAGAAATGGAGGTCAGAGCGGTGGAGCAGGCAGATACTGTAAGGTTTGAAGAGAGGGACACAGGTTTTATTCAGCGTTCAGGACATGTATTGCTAGGCAAGAAATGAGCATGAATCAGGAAAGAAGATTTTTAAAAGGTGGGCTTTTTGCAGCATGTATACAAGAATGAAGGTTAGCTTAGAACAGGGTATGAGTGAAAAGAATGACAAGTCTTCAGATTGTGAAGGTATTTTTAATCAATCGATTTTTGTTTTTTTATGAATTCAGTGCTGGGTGTGCAAGAAGAAAAACTTGAGCTTAATCTTAACAGATTAAATCGACAGTCTAAGCCTGCAGTAAATATTGGTAAGGGCAGACATCAAGAGTTATTTATTAAGCAGGCACACCTTGAAGATATTGCAGGTTTGGTTCCAGATTACTAGAATAAAGCAAATATTGCAATAAGGGGAGTCACACAAAAATGTTGGTTTCCCATGTTTTTACCATACCGCAGTCTATTGAGTGTACAATATAGTATGAGAGAGGCATTTAAAAATGATTTTACTTTAATAGATCAGGGCTGTGATATGAAAGCAAACTTGTGAAAATGGTGTTAGAAAGCTATATGTGGGCATTGTTTCAGAATCTGGTAACTTCATGTTATGTAACATTTTCTGTCTAGTCTCTCTGGACACCCATTAGCTCTTTCAGCTGATGTTGTTTTATAGAACGGATTTTGCAAAAACTAATGAACGCCCAGGTTTGAAGAAATGTGCCTCTTGAGCTTTTGTAGTTGTGAAGAAGTAAATTTTCTACTAGCTTAGACAGACACCATAACTAGATCTTTACTTTTGGTTTCTGGACGTACACAATTGTATTATAAATCACTTTTCCTTCTATAGAAATTTCGTGTAGCAGATTTATAAGAGTAAAAGAAAATTGGAAAACCTTATCAGCTTAACATATGATGTGTCACTGAATTGTTTAAAGCAAAAACTTAATATATATTAATATAATGTGAATCCTGGTATTATCAATTATTCTGTTCCATGCTATAGTTAAGTGAGAAACCCTTCGTGTATATTAATACATTTTCCATGCTTACCTGGGTACTGTAATTAACAGACACATTTAGTGTTAGCCCAGAATCTCTGGCCACCTGAAAACTGATAAAAGTGGATTTCTTATGAGCCACTGCCAGCCGAGAACCCATAGAAAAGTATACCAGGCTTTGAGGCGCATCACCCTGTAAGATTTTAATCTGAGCAAATCTGGCACTGTTGTTTATTGCTGCTCCGGCAGTCACTTCATAAATCTCCACAAAAAAATTTACTTCAACTTGAGGTATCTAACAATTAGAAAACAGAAGGAAACACAAAAGGATGATTATCAGTATGTTTTCTATGTTTTGATATTTCTGATAATAACCAATTATGTCATTCATCAGAATAATTATAGAAATAAATTATAACATATTCTGTAAAACTATAAAACTAAACATTTTTGCTTGATTACCTTGGGATTTATGTTGATTTTCTCTTCCTAAGAAACACATTGATTCTTTATGTGAGGTTCCTGCTATAAGATTAGTATCAGAGACAGTTCATGAGTATTTCAATATGAAAAAAAAGATAAATAAAAATATAGAGCAGACGCACAATGAAATGCCATTCAGTAGTTAAAAGGAATGAACTCCTTCAACATTTCCCAACATGGGTGGATCCTAAAAAACATGGCGGTAAATGAGACAATCAAGTTACATAATGCCATGCACAGTATGCTATTGTAAATGTAAAGTGACAGTGTATGCTATATGTTGTTAATGGAAACATATTTGTACAAAGTTTTAAAATTACCACAAGAGCAGTTGCCTTAGGTACAGGGATTGAAGTGAGGTTTGGATGGAATGGGAAGTTGGAAAATCATACTGGAAATAGGGATGTTGGAGGAGGCACCAACTTCATTAGCTTATATCTTATGTCGTATATTTTAGTGGGTTTATAATAAATATTATCAATTTCTGATAACAGGAAATTATATAGTTTTACATGATTTTTTCTAAATTCCTAAAATTAAATAGAAAATAATTTTGAAGTTAATTGGCTGATTGTAGTCTGCTCAAGTGTTACTTTGGTTCATTTTCAACAATTCTAAGATACATTTTTTGTACAGTCTGAATTCCACATCGTCAATAATGTTTATTACCTATTTATTCTTACTTCAAAATCTGAAAGCATTTTCAGTATTATGAGCCTCTTGGTATAAGCCAACAAAGCAAAGTTGATGCATTTTACAATTGTATATTTCAGTCTAATTTGATAAAATGAATCTTAACTATCCATCAGCAAGGGGTTTATTCATCATTTGGCAATCTTTTTAATGATAATCATCATTATACAACAAAAAGTTTAGTATTATCCAAGAGTAAGTTTTATCTTGGTTTCATGGTAAATGGCCTTTCTTTTCCCAATCTGAAGAAATGTGGTTAGTTTTCCTGGAGCATTATCAATTCTCACTTGTGCTGATCAACTGTCACTTGATATTGAAATATAAAGTGCTCTTCCCAATTTTGAGAAACTAAATATAGCAAACGCAAGAAACTAAAACACTAGGGAAGTGGCTAATCATAGTCAAGAGTTATTGCTCATTAATGGCTAAGTGAACTTGAAGTCACAAAAGTTTCTCTTAAGAATGATTTGAGTACAATTCAAGCAGAGAGCCTTGTCTTTTCTTTTCTAGTAAAATATTCCTTTTCATTGTGATGGTGATTAGATCATTATTTACAACCAATGAGAATCAAAAGAATATAATATATTCCTCAGTCAAGAACCATCTAAAACAAAACAGTGTACAGATGGATGTCAACATATCATAAGACTCGAGACAAAAGGAATCTTTCTGTCTAACAAAGAAATACCCTAGTCTATCAATGTGTGTAGAGTATATTGGGAAACCAGTGCGTGGACGCATTGATCAAACATAAGCCCGTCTAAACCCGTACGGAGTCTTCATATGAACCCATTTCATTTGTAACTGCCAGCAGGTCTCTTCTCTAGTTAGGTCAGAAGCACTCCATGACAGTAGTATTAAAATACAACTTCACAAAATTTCAGTATCTTTAGCTACTTCATTTTCTACTGTCATCAACAAGGCATTTCTATTCTAAAACTAATGTTTCCATCTCTTTATACAAAGAGTCTCGTTCTAGAAGAATCAAATTAGCCAAAGCTAATAAAGGCATCATTCAAATCGCCATTTTAAAATGAACTTTCCTTGATGGCAAAAACTTTTCTTACAATGTTAAGGTTAACATTTATGAGTTGGGTGTTTTAAGTATAGTGAGACCGGTTCAAAATTCTCATTTAGCAAAAATCATATTTGAGATAAAAATCAAGATGATTCTGGACCATAAGTTACTGCCACCAAGCAAAATTGCACCCACTTTAAAAACAACCCTGAAAAGGAAGAAAGATCAGCAAAGCCAGCCTTCAGGGTCCATGACGTGACCGGCTGAGCACCAAAGTACATCTTTAAGCAAATAATTAGAACTAGTTGAATTTGAGTCATAACTATGCTTCAAAGAAAGATGTTTGAACCATTAAAAAATGCAAAGTAAGTGTGAATACAATATAGTGTATTTAACATTTTTTAACATGCAATGAAGTGTGAACATGCTAAAGTGTTTATTTTATTAAGTTTATGTTCATGTATAAGCTACAATACAAAAATTTTCTCTAATGACCAAAGTAGGAAGCAGTTAATAAAAAGAATTATGAGTGAGATAAATATTCCTGGGGAGAGAGGGCAAATAGATCATTACCAAGAAAAAGAATACATTATTAACACCTGTGAAACACATAGCACCGTGGCAGGCAGCAAGCCCAGCCATTAAAGAGTGTGGTTGCTGGCACACAAATGAAAATCTGGTTTAACTTAGTGTTAGCTCCAACGTGATAGAACCAATAGGCTAAAAAGGTACACTATGGGCACACCTGGACACCCTGCGAGATGAAGCCTGTATGGTGTCCTGCTAAGTATAAGAAGCTACTACCAAAATGCACATAGCATATTTCAAACGACCTTACTAGACCAGCTCATGCTTAGTAGTGATAGGAAGTGAGTGCTATACAACTAGCCATGCAAAGTTCAAAGAACAAATCACGTTGGGGAAAACATAGGCT